AGTTATGATAACCCAATCAATAATTATTTTGACAGTCAGTTGTATTTATTGTGTAGTGTAATGTTTTGAATAAACTAAACGTATTTTAGGTCCATTTTAGTCGTTCGTAAGAGATAGTATATTCATATTGAATGAACCTCATAACATTAGTTTTAGTTTGTATTGCCATAGATAAAACATACTCCCTCAGTCGTGGTTAGTCTATGGTATTACTCTATGGTGCCATTAGTTTTATTAGAAATAGTAATTTCAAAATTCTCTCTCTGGAGAAATAGATGCATGACATGCTATCAAAATCTGTGAAAAGATATTACTATACTATACTATTAGATATACTATAGGTTTATAGTTTATTTTTAATACAACTACATGTAAGAAACGTACCCCCATTGTGTAGTTGTCACAAGTAATCTTGGATAGTTGTCGCGTTAAAATTATATGTTGGCGATACAATGTAAGTGTACGTGTAAGAAATTTTACTGTATAATTTTCTGAATTACTATAGAAACAAAAAAACCTAAATGTTGAAACCAGTTCGAGTTTTGATTAACCTCACATGCTCACAAAATCAACAATTCGTTAGGCACATGGTTGTAGAATATTAAAAAAATAAAATTAATAAGAATATTTTGTAATTGATATTTACACTTAGCGAAGTTTATTTCTTAAATAAGAAGCGTGATTCGTAAATTTTACTTTTTATTGAAATTCTTAATTCTAAAAAAACACTTGGATAAAAACTTTTAAATAAATGTTCTACTGCTATTCGCAGTTATTTTTAAATATTTAATTTTAGATGTTCGAATAATTTAACTCATTATAATACTTCCACTTTCAATTGAAAAGAGTAGTGTTATAATAGAATAAATTACCACTTGTTTAATGCTGTGAGGATATTTGGAAAAGAGACGACCAATTTTAAGGTAGACAAGAATAGACGTATCTTAATTTGTATTATATTTATGAATCTAACTTGATTTTTACATTTTATGCTTTTGGCAGAACTGAAACATTCCTGAAAAATGTTTTGTTTTGTACTGAACTCACCTTTTAAGCCTGGGATGTGTTATAAAAGCTAAGGATAGCTAAGTGCGATTTCAAACCATACAAAAATGTAGATTTTTTTTCTCAGTATTAAATCGTTGACTTTAAAATTTAGATTATCACTAAAACCATTCATCTACTCAGTTACACTTTGAATATTAGCTACACAATACACATCTCGTGTGAATTCAATTACAGTATTACTATTCAATGTTTTATATATTACAGCTTCAAAATGTATGCCAGTTACGTGATATGAGTATACCTTTTACAATCAACAAAGCAATAATATACCAAACTTAGCCATAAACAAGGCTGGTACAATGTCAAATCTGCCTTAAATGGGTTTCCTCACTTAGAATTCATAATTAGAGCATTCGTCTTAGGCCGAATACCCATGGAAATTATTGGTTTGGTCTTCAAAACCAAGTAATTTTATTTTTAATTGTAGTTTTTATTTTTGTTTTTTTTACTGTTTCGTTACATATTGAATTATTTTTTAGATGACTGATACAGTATTTCAAATGTATGAGTATGGCCATAAATATGTTTTACAAAACTATAAATATTATAGGCTTATGTTTTAACCAACATTAAAAAATACAATTTTCATATTTTTATTAATTTGCTTTTGCATTATTTGGATTTTTTCGCGAAAAAAATGTTGATTGAAAAAAAAATTATTAAAATTTTACTTATACAACTAAAAAATAAACAATGAAAACCACCCCTTAAAACCGAGTATCAATGGAAAAAACCCGTATTCCCAAATTAACTAATGTTTTCTAACAAGATAGATTTATTCGTTATTTCGTTGTATTCGGAAACCACCAAGTATAAGAAAAAGTTTTTATTTTTTGAATTAGAACTCATCAGATTATTGTAAATAGCATCAACAATACTGGCTCAGCAATTCCATTACATTTACATTATTAGATTGATAAATATTGAAGATAACCATTCATGCCATAGCTGGGCAATCTCATTGGTTTGATTAGAAATCTCTTTTCAGACCTCAAGATATTGGATCAAGTAAAAATTATACTCGTAGGGTCCAATAAACAAGTATAAATGTAATAATTTATACTACAGAGCTGTATAACTTCAATATTAGCCTAAGTTAAAAAGAAGCCATTTCATTTCCATGTACACCATTGACTTTTTATTAATAAAATAAATGAAATCGTACATTTAGTTAAATTAAACCTCTGTATCTCAGGCCTAAATAATTATTTAATTAAAACAATCTTACTTTATGATGGCCTTCCGTAGAGCTCTATTTTAATACAGGAACTCGTCAGTAAAAAAATATACAAATGCATGAATATTATTAATATAACTATTCTAAATATAAATTTCAATTACCATTTTCTTTCGTACAATGTGCTTTTTGCAAGTTAACATACTTATAACCTAATTAATCACATTTTAGAATTTGAGGTTAACCAACATTGAATATTATTTTCCCATATCCATGTTCAATAGTATTTTAATACAAATTTTTATTTCAGATATAACTTTCCCAGATTATAATGGATAATAATATTTTGTACTAACAATGTCTACGAGATTTACCTACCATGAGATACAGAATTATGAATGAAATCAAAATTAGTGAGGGAAATGAAAAAAAGAAACAATGTTACCACTACAAACAATTAAAATAAACCAAATTATGCCTGTTGCATACTATAACTAAATTTGCTGGATTTTCTTAAACAAACAATACAAGAATCAGTATAAAATGTAATTTCATGATACTCAAAAAACATGAAAATTTTTAAAATAATGAATTGATTTCTGAAACCGAAGTTACATTATGGCTTCCCGTAATATGTTCCTTTCCACTATTCATATATTTCTTAAAAATATTATATATTTGTTGTTCGTGTGGAACCTATTATGTGAATTAAGTTTATCACCTATTCCCTATTCTCTAGTTATTTTTTGACGTACGTTGTTGTCAATGATATTTTACTAACTGTTGGGGCTTTCGGATGTTCTTTTTGGCGTAAATAGTCACAATGCAACGAATATATCAAGCTCTGTAACTTTCAAATTATTAATCCTAAGTTGATTACCATTTTGCTAAAGCAACAAAATGGTGCTTATTATTTAGTTCTAATAACACAAGTATAGTTTACAAGACCAATATAACACACAAGTTTTTTTATCATGAGAAGTGTCATGTTGGTTGAATTTGTGTTTAATTTCCGTAAACAATCTGTTAATTCAGCCCAGTGTCATTCTCTATCACACGGTTATTACTCGCCTCACATAGTCTGCCCGAACATGTATTTGTTTCATTATTTAACATGTCAACGCTTGTAACATTTGCTGACAGCTGGGTTTTGTCACGTTTGTTTACAATTTTTGCGTTTTATGACGAGTTGAACAAATGTTTATAAATATTGTGCATAAGTAGGTTAAAACTTTAAAATAGTGGTATGATCGATTAGTCTGCTGTATAATAAAACATGGAGTGAGATATTGTTTTGGACATCTTGTTAAAAAATCCTGGCATTGGTAAATAATATTTAAATTACACTGATGTGTATGATTTAAAATACTATCTATACATTAATAGGAAAGCATGTTTCTTAAAAACCTTTTTTCTCAGCTCGCGTTTATCGCAAAGAAAATATACGCGTTCTGTTAGAAAGATATTTTCCTATATATGTGCAGAATCCCTTTATAAATTAAAGTGGGCTAAAAAATAAGCACAATAAACGCATTTTAAATTTGAAAAGATCAACATGGGCCGTATAGGTTGCCATGCTCATGAAGAAATATAAACAGAAAATCAGAAAAAAATTAACAAATTCCAATCACATGTTTTATTTACAGTGTCTGCACAATACATATTTTCGGTTGAGTTTTCAACCACTGGGCGACCTCTAGTACTACATCAAAAACTATTACGATTAGGTCATTTATTCATGATTCATTTATGATTAATTATTTTTATTAATTAATATCCTGTAAACAAGCACGTGTACAAACTTATATTTTTGTCCAAATATTTTTGATTGTTTGTTTATCATCGGGTATTTGGCCACAAGATATCCATTGGAGTTGGTCACAAGGCTGGGAAAATTCCATTTTAAGTCCTACAACCCTTTAAAGTGCCCAATCGTCGATAACTCTTGTAGCTGCAGTTAATAAAAACAGCTGTACAGGTTATTTTGACTGAAATCTACATATTTGTAAAGGTGTATTATAATGTTTTCTTCGTATAATCTATTGATTAATCTATTTTATCTTTAATTTAGCTAATTAACTTATATAATAAATATTATGTTTAATTCAATCTCCTGGTACTTACTTATAAAATATGAGGTTGATTTCAACTCTAAGGTTGATGTATCAGTTGGATTAATATACATGTTCTCTTTGCAATTCACTGCCGAATGATCAGGCGCAGAACCCAGGTGTGTCTGGAGAGTTATCCAATCTGACCAAACATTTGTGTCCGACACACACTAAACTTGTGATATTTATTGCCGGTAAAACAGTGCCAATAGACTATCCTGTTGCGAGCATTGCATTTTATTGCTTCGGATAAATTACTCTGTTCATTTTGTTTTAAATTTATTGTTAAAACTGTTTTGAATTTTTTAACGTGTTTTAAATGACATTATTTTCAGATGGATCACACTTTATTGTCAATTATTTGTTTGCCTACAATAGTAATTCAAACGTATATATATTTCATCACCATTCGATATTTTACACTATAAAAGGTATACAGTAACATCAGCTGGTATCACCGTACATAATGTTGTTTCTGACCAACCCCAAATAATTATTACGATAAATTAAAAATTATTGCGAATTAATTGTATGATATGAATTTTAAAGCTGAGGCCTATTTAGAGTTTTATAAATTTCTTGTTCAATTTTCCACACATATTTCTCATAGCAACGACATATTTTTTATTAAAATTCCAATTATGCACTTACCTAATATACAATTTATATGTATTAAATGAAAATTGTTTGAATAGTGTTGCGCGGCTGTGATTTTTAAGTACAGATATAGCGAAGAGACAGAATTGTTTTATTTAAATGGGGGTAAGCTATTAAATTGTATCTTTATATTATCCAATACTGTAAGCCGTTTTAAGCAGGCTAGTTTCATAGCCATGGTTACGGTTAGTTACACTTCAAGGTTAACTACTTAACAACAAAATGCAATACCGCATCTCATAACCTCCTTGATGACAGTGAAGCTACATAGGCTGAAAAGAATTCATCCAATCGACATCTAAATTGATTCTAGATTTTTGTTTTGTATGTTATTTCACTTAATGGAGTGTAATTAACTCATGTTAAATTTTCATAAAATTTACTTATTTACAGATTGTAAATAAATTATTGTTAAACAAAAAAAAATACTACCACATTGTTACATGAAACATTATAAACAAAACGCGTAAACAAAACGGTTTTTTTTTAATACGAAAGGTGAAAATTTCAAATTTCATTTAATATCACAATAGATTTAATTATTTTGTAACCAACAAGGAATGTTTAACGTTAACTTCATTTTTATTTTTCGTGTATTTGCATGGTTAGTTAATGTCCTAACACTTTTGGATACTGTCAACTCATCTATATAGATCAGCTTTTCTAAAACTTTGTTAATGAAATACAACATAGTTGGACGAACCACCCAGAAAGCTTCTGAAAGATTATAATTCGTGTATTCATACTTTGTTATTATAATTAAATGAAAGGTGATATATTTTGAATCAAGTAGTTATCATTGTAGTTTGCCTTGACTAGTATGTTGGTATATGTAACAGAAATCAGTAACTGAAAACAGCTCGCTCTGTGGAAATAGAGTATAATATCTATGAATTCATACACTAACAAATACCAAACTCACATACGAACATTCCCAACTAAAATCAATATATTTTTCAATTGTAAAAAGTGTTTTTAAGTTTAGTACTTTTTACAGAAATGCAAAGAGCGAGAACCTGAGATATGCATTGGAAGCTATTGCATTGGTATATACCGAAAGGTATGTTTAATTTCAAATGTTTATCATAGTAAACTTAACCTTTTGTGATAGATAATCTTTAAGACTATGTATGGTAAAACAATGCAATACTTATCAACGATGAGTAATTATGTTGTTGTTAAGATTACTTAGCAGATTTTTAATTTAAAGGGGTACTAAATCTGGTATTTCAAAAGAAAAAATTACAAATGTATCCCTTTTAGCTTCTTCAAATGGGAAAATATATAAAAGGGAAGAGTTTAAATACCTAAAAACTGTTTTCACTCTTTTATTCTAGTTAAATATTTTTTTACATGCTTAATTAAAATAATACAACCTTGTATATTTTAAAATAACATTGACAGATTATTACAAATGTTGGGTCTATATGAGAATTCTATTATAAACATATTGTTCTTCCAGAAATCAACAAAATCAGCCTCGAATTGGATTATGTATATTTTCTTGTTGCTCGTGATTGCCTTGGGAGTGTTCCTACTTATTAATTTTGCTCCGGAAATTATGAACTTCTTTGGAAACCTCTTCGCTGGAAAATCGTCAAGAAGAGGTAATAAAAATAGAAACAAGGATTCTAAAGGAAATAGAAGAGATAAAAACAAAAACAAAAATACAGACAGTGATGATGATGACGAAGTCAAATCGTCAAACAGTGGAAAAAGCGGTTCAAAAAAGAAACGCAAAGATAAGGAAAATAAATCTGAATCATCAGCAAATCCCACGGATAATGAAATTGCATCGAAGACGTCCTCAAAACAAAATAAAACTGACAAATTAAAATCGGAGAAACCTGCAAGTTCAGATGACGAGGATGGAAACGGCTGAATTTTTGATATAATACAATCGTAAATATATTATTAGAAAATGATTGTGTATTAAAGTTAACTAAACAACATACGAACAGCAATTCTTTTTCCTTCGTATAAAAAGTATGAGTAGTTTTTTATGAGTACTTCTAAATAATCTTGTTACGGCATTCCGTTGTCGTATGACCTAAAAATACAGTGTTTTATTTCTATACATGGTGTCCCGGAACTCTCTACCAATATTTTAGGGCATTGCTCCTGGGTAAGAAACATACCTAAATATCATATTTCAATTGTCCGGAAGTCCTTAGTTACTCACACAGCCGCCATTTGGTTTTTTTCAGTTATTTTTTTTTCTAAAGAATGGTTAAACATACGAAATGGAAACTTTGCACAAACAATTATGACAACTAGACAAAGCTACAAAAAAATTATGACGATTTTTCAAATTCATAAAACAATATGGCGGCTGTTTAAAATTTTGTTTCTTAAATAACTCAAAAACCGTTGATTTTAGAAAATTTTAAACGGCCGCCATTTTCTTTAATGAATTTGAAAAATCGTCATATTTTTTTGTAGCTTCGTCTAGTGTTCATATATGTTTGTGCACAGTTTCCATTTCGTATGTTTAACCATTCTTTAGAAAAAAAATAATAACTGAAAAAAACAAAATGGCGGCTGTGTGAGTAACTAAGGACTTCCGGACAATTTAAATATGACATTAAGGTATGTTTCTTACACAGGAGCAATGCCCTAAAATATTGGTAGAGAGTTCTTGGACACCCTGTATATGAGTTTTTTTTTACGTTTGGGAAGTTAAGAAGTATCCTACTAATGTAAAAATAAAGTATGGATGTTTGTGTGTAACTCTGAAGTTCCATCACGTGAAAACGGCTGGACCAATTGAGCAGAGTGTTATTTGATAGTCTTGATAAACACATAGACATATTACAGTTGTTAATACAGTAATCCTAAACTTAAAATAAAAGAAACTATTATTCATCAGTTAAATGCAATCCTACCCCATTTACTGACCTTGTTAGCCAAGAGCAAATTGAAGGTAACATAACCCGCTTACAGTTTTAATGAGTACAGAGCTATGGAAAATTTGTATATCAAATGTTTGTTCTCAACCATTTAGTTACAAGAGATCATAATATTTCCAGGATTCGTTGTCCTAAATTTAAATAAAAAATATCAATATCACTTATGATTAATTCATTGTTTAGCTTTTCGTAGCGGCATATCCTATAACGAAAGACAGTTCTTTTGGCTTAAAGAAATTTATGCGTCCAACTTTATACTAACTGTTGGAAGGATTTGACTACGCCAGCTTCCTCCTTTTTTGACCTAGGACGCTAGACACGAGCCTGAGATTTTTTACATTACTTCAGACTAGACAGGGTTGCGGCATTATCACTTAGATAAAATCCATTGGTGATTAGGCAGGATTTGAACCTAGGATCCCTGGGACCGGAGTCCCGCGCTCTAGCACTACACCAGCTCGCTATCCCAAGCGTCGTCCCTTGAGCTATGTTTTATCTTAAGACATTTAATAGAGGGGGGTTTCAATTGAGGTATTTTTTTCGGTTTTGAAGCCTATTTTATATTTTAAAATGAGGTAGACTTTCAGTTTAATGAGGCTGTGAACCATTGCACAACACCGTTGTAACAGTACCATTTGCGGGATCTTCAGGACATATTTTGCGCTCTAACATTCTCGTTTGAAGTATAGACTACTAATACAAACATTACATATTTAGGTAAATAAATACCCATAGCATATTTGCTTTGGTTTTAAAGTATCAAAATACTCTATCTGTGCTGGAATACACTATTTGCATATCCACGTTTGGTCTGTTCAGTAATGTTATACGTCTTCCACCATCCAGGTGTAATGTTGATTGCAAATGCAATCCCTGCCTACGTGGATATACGATACTCAATTCAATTGGCCATCCAATTCCACTTGATTGTCCAAATCCGGTTAATGCTCTTGTCTCTTGGAAATTATAATTTCGCTATGCAAATTCGATTATTTAGTTTGTTCAAATAGTTTGAGGCACAGTGTATTTCCAACCAAATAAACTCAGTACTTACCTGTTAATATTCCAAAGACTAATTTTTATTTAATGTATTTTCTCAAATCAGGCACATCTAGTTAGTGATCAACACGTAGACAGCCTGTTAAATGGTGGTAGGCCCTAGTGGTTTCAGTCCAAGTTGATATCAGGAAATAAATTTATGGACTAGTTAAATTCTCGCTGGCCTAGTGGTTAGTGTGTTAGACTAGATGAGTGCAATATGGATGTGTTACGTTTCCCTCATACTGATGATTGAGAGAGATTGAGGGGTATGGAACTAAATTTCTAAACCTAGGTCGTCCTGCAAGCAAACGTTTGGCATATCATTATATGTACTTTTATTAATAATCATATGATATCAACAAGGGAAACTATACGAATATTAAGTTTCACCTAATGTATTCTGTTGAAACTAGACAATTCTGATTGGTAGGTAATGGTTGTTTCTTGTTGTATTAAACTTGCTTTACGGCTCTTGCTTGGGTTGTATAAATTTGCAGATAAGTTCTCAACTAGAATTCCTGTCCCTCATGAATCACGTATTCTTAGTACAAGTACCGGTAGGCTACACCATGAAAAGTATAAAATTAAAAACATTTAGCTTCTAGTTTTGTAATTATCAAAAGCGTTTTGATTTTTTCACCTTGTTTTAATTAGTAATTGACAGTAATGTCAGTTGAGTGTTAAGGAACTCGATTGATATATTTCCCTATTTAAGTGTTACAGGTTGTAAATTATGACAAATGAAAAAAACAAACAAACAAAATCTTTGATTGAAAACAGTAAAATATAGAAATCAATTATTTACCTAACAGGATATTCTTGATGCCAAGTACTTTTTTTTAACAACTTACTTACTTACTTGAAATACTTGAAATACTTGAGGTCTTCATCCTTGACCGACAATGTCGGACAGATTGCGTCAACTCATATGAGTTTGTCAATAAAAGCATATATTTACACTATTTACAATATATACATTATTTACATTTTACTGTGGCAACATGTCTCGCCCTGTAGTCTGGGCGAACTACATTATTCAGCTTAACCTTACTCTCAACTTATTTCTTGTCTCAAAAGACAATTTCTTGTTCTATTATTCAACGAGTATAATTAATTTGACCAACGACATCTTGGATGTTTCTATTGCGAAATTGCCAGAGTTAATTAGACAAAACATAGACGCCGATCGCCGTGCCGAGGCTGCTAAGAGAGAATATTGTTAAACTTAATTACATTATTGTGCTACCAAGGCAGGTCACCAAGGCAGGATGCCACCTAGTGACCAATTAGCGGTCAAAGGTAGTTCACCCGTTTTGGGTTCACCCCAAAAATGTGTTCGGGAGTCCCAATAGGCTTTAATTCAATTTGTGGGCACAGGTTTGAACCGTTTGAATATTATGGATTCTTAAAGTAGGAGGCTGAGATATCAAATCAAGAGGCAACAAGATTGGAAGTCATTCTAGAAGGTGTATAGAGAATAAAGTAACTGCGTGGCGATGGACGAAAATATTTCCAAAATCAATCAAATCTAGTTAAAACTATATCAGCCATTTAAAAGAAGAAGTATTTACTAATTTTCCATACATTCAGTTTCCAGAAAAGACTGTATTTTAGAGAAAATGTTAAAGATACATTATTCATGTAAGTTCAAAGTTATTGTAATAAAGATTGGTTAAGAACTGAAGTATGTAGGTAATATTCAGTAATTTTATCTACCTTTTACTTTAGTTTACACGATAAATATTCTTAAAAGTAGTAATTATCAAGAACTACGATTTAAAATTTTTTAAACTACGCTAATTCCTTCATTCAAATCTTCTTCTAGTGACATTAGATATATTTAAAAGGAAATTACGTATGGCCAACTAAGACAGAGCTTAGTGTTAAAACTAAATGAAGCACTTAAGATGTCGAGGGTCTGATAAGGGTCTAAACGCTAAACAGACCCTTGTAACCAACCGAGCTTGATTGGGGTTGGTTTGGAGGGTTTATCGGGTGACTTAATTAATGTTCACCACAAAATACAGCTGTTTACTACTTTAGTAAACGTTACAAAATAGTGTTTAGTGTTGTTTACAAAATAATTATTGAGGATTAGGCGCTATTATTGTTAGGGCTAAAATTATACTGACTAATGTCGGAATAAGTTTTACATGGTTTTGCATGTCATAAAAATACTACTTCAGTTTAGAATTGTAGTCCAAAGTAAAAAAAACAAAATAGCATTATTGTGTCGAATATTAAAAGTAATAAGTAAGTAAAGAAGCTTTTAATATAACCTTATTCCTTTGTTTATTATTTCATCTTTGACAAAATGTGGTCTATAATTGTTTTATATTTCTCTACTTTAAGTGATATAGAAATTTTAGTATGTACTATCAAAAAGAGTTTACTGTAAACAAAGTTGTTCTCATGAAATAGATGATAATAAATTAGACAGTCTGTACAGACTGTTTCATTGTTAGCTATTATTATTTTAATGTGGCTGTGTATGGTGTAAAACTGTTAAAAGGGAAAACACTACTGTATCAACTGGGGTCTAATTTTCCGTAATGTAAGCCCACTCATGAGCCTGGTTAAGATATACGTTTAGGTTTATTTATGTCCTTGAAACTCTCCTCATGGATGTCTAGCGTTTGAGTTTGAGCCTTGGAAGTATAAAATTATTGGTAGCCGAAACAAAGATAAAAATGCATAAAATTTTGATTACTATAAATACATAGTTAGGTTGATTTTATGACGACTTAAGACTTGATTTTGTGTGGTACAGTTCTATTTTTTTTATAGAATATCTACTTTGATTTATAACCAGTAAAATATATCTTTTTAATAATTATAATTTTGAAAAGGGGGGCTCTATCGTGCTAAAAGTACAGTGCAAAGGGTTTTACTCTGTAAGATAAAATACAGATCTTTTACACACAGAGAACATTACAGTGTTTCTAAGATT